AATAAGCAACTAGTTAATAGTAAATAGTGTTCCCTAATCTAAAGTATTAACAGAAGTTAACTGGATGTGAAACAAAAAGTGATTTTAGATAAGATTTAAAGATCAGGAAATTCAAAACAGTAATAGATTATAAATATGACTGGGTGCATGCCATTTTTAAACTTGGTGTCATATTTTTTAAATCGTGGCACAAATAAAGCTGAGTCTCTACCAGTCGCATGATATTGTACCATCATACCACCACCCAGTTCCATCCATGCCTCTCAGTTTGAGAACCTCTGTTCTGCAATGGATCTTTGTTTTTGTTATTTGCTGCTGGTTAACTTGTTTGCAGTTTCTTACACAGACCCAGTAGTGTCACATCAATCTCCAACCAAGGAAATGATGATTTATCATTCCCACAATCTCATTCACAAGCCTGTGTGTTTACCCTACCCTATCTACCTGTTTGGATCAGCCCTCTGTCTGTCTGTGTCGTTCTGTCTGTTGATGGCTCATCTCTGTCCTGCACAGATCACCCAGGTTTACACGCAGACCTACTGAAGTGAACGAGCTTGTGAACAGGTTGAGGTAACAGATGGACGGGCATGATGGGCCGCTCTCACTGCATGCGTGTGCAGCTCAGAGCACAGTGAATCAGCCTCATTCCAGAGCCCATACATAGATGAAAAAGCTTTGACAGTCCATTAACAGGCATGACCCTTGACTTAAGAAAAAGATTGTCTCACATAGATTGTCTCATTTTCTAATAGCATAAAGTCTCATCTGCTTTGCAGCATATTATTGCGAGGCACCACCCTCTTAGTCAGGAAAACGTTTTAGAGGAGGGCTTATGTGAAATAGATTACAGTTCTTCAGAGTTCTGCTGCAGTTTTACAGTTTTTCCATTATGCATCAGATTGTCAGTACTCTGGTGGTCTGTGGGCAAGTGTCTGAGGCTGAGATTACGCCAAGCCGCCTTCACAAAAATTTGAGCGAGAGTAATGAGAGTTTGGCTTTATTGATCCTGCCAAATATATGCAAACAAATTCAGCATACTAGATTACTTTGCCGTTTTTAACAGGCTGTGATACCATGCTTGGTCATGTGACTCAGTGTGATGGATGAATGAACCTACACGTGGCTTCTGG